GCTTAAAGAACATATCTGTGTTAGGCAGACATGTTCAGGTCAGTAGAGAGAGCCCTTCTGAACACATTCCTGGAGGGTGACCCATGGATCCCTGTCACTTAAGGAGCAGTCTCGAGAAGGGGTAATACTTGCCTGAAAGGACTTCTTTTCAGAGGAGTTTACTTGGCAGAAGCATAAGTTAAAACACCACATGAAGTGACATGAGCCACTCATTGGGTGGAGGATACGGCAAACTCAGATTTGGTTTCAAGTTTTCAGTTATGTGCAAAGGACTGAACTAGCAGATTTATCTGTGTCCTATAAAGCCAATTTATGCCAATTCTAGCCAACGTTTCTCTAGAATGTTGATAAGGTAAACAGTTGAGGAAATCAAAGTATTTTCATATTCTCACTGATGTTAGACCTGAAGGCTTTTATTGAACGGTGAACTTTCACCCATCTCCTTCTGTGTGTGTATGGATAGTGTACAGGGTTTGTGCAAGGTCGAACACTGCCTTGGTTAATGATCAAATACCTTTTTTAAGCATACATTTCTGCATTGATTCAGACAATGATTCAATCTAGACCTGAGGCAGTGGCAAATCTCATGCACGTTTATTAAGGGTTGCCTTGCTGTGTATAGAGGTGTGTATATGATGGTGGAGATGGGTAGATGGAGGAAAGAATGGATATCTGTTCACAAGTGGTGATTATAATTCTCCAGCTAGAAAGCTGAACATTTTGAAAACAAGAATGGACAGAATAGCATTCTTTAGTTCTTTTTGAAAAACTGGAGTTGAAAAAAATAATCACAACACTAGTGATAAAGAAAATATAAGCTGGCAACAGTATTCAGAGAGCCTCCCTCTGCATCCTCCCCTTCGGGACTTCTCCGGCCAGCACTGCTTTAGGCTCTGTCTTTTATGAGAAGGGAGACTATCAACTTGTCATGTCTTCACAGATTCCACGTTTATGTGCAAATGGACAAAATCTTAGTCAGCAGGCTTTAGGGTATTTGATTGTGTGAATTTGTAACTATACTGCAAGCACATTAAAGTCAGACTTCAAACCTGTTCGTAGCCTTCCCAGAACCTAGTGCTGTTTTTCATGTAGTAGAAATATGCCCACCAAGACTATATTGATGGTTATTCTAATAGGTTAGAAATGTTAACGTAGATGGTTATTATAAATAGATCCATAAATTTATTTGTTATATTTATTTTAGACAAGGTTGTCCTTAGTCTTATCTAATATAGATTTCTAGAAGAGGTTTAGTTATTATGGCACTTTCATTTTCAGTTTATAATGTAAATGCTTTAAGTTACGTTTAATGTATATTAACTCTGAAACTCTTGCGTAAGAACACAGCATATCTCTTCATCTTGTTGTTGTAAAATGATATCCTACTTGGAAAGACTGCTAGTTCACGCAGGTTCACATTTAAAGCCGGTCTAAGTGCAAGAAAGAGCCACGAGTTGAAAGGCAAAACAAGCGTCTAATAAAATGCATGATTAAAGTTTATAAGCACAAGCTTGGATTTCTTGTGGGATTTTATCTTATGAAGAATTTAAATTATGCTTAAATTCTTAAAAATGATGAAAACAAAATTTGAATAATACTGGTAATATAGTTTTTTTCTCCCCATCTTCCACTTTAAAAAAAAGTAAGAAATTCTATTTCCCATACAAGTTCAGTGGAGCAGGATGAACTGAACTTTATAACAGAATAGTCAAAGACTATATCAAAGATTTTATTATAGCAGCATTCATTTTAAAGCCTGGGTAGAATAATTAAAACAGTATTACAACAACCTCCTAAATTAAATCATGCCTTCTACAATGGTTATAAATCACACTAGGTCTTTGGGAAACATTTAAAATGTATACCCTGTTACCAAGAAGATTCCCTAAAAATAAATAAGACCCAAGATTAAATACAGCTGTATCTAGTTTTAAAAAATAATAATGATTCTAATTCACCACATTCCCAACATGTAATCTACATCCAGATTTTTTAAAATAGGGTGGGGTGGTCCATTTAGAGGAAAAATGTTAAATCTAATGGCAACAAGGCCCGCAAGCATAAAGAAAAAGACTAAGTACCCTATACAAAATATAAAACAAAAACAGCAGCAGCAACAGCAAAATAAACACACAGAGCATACACAGCATAGTTACTATTCTTCCTATATAAAAAGTTCCTGCAGGGGGCCGGCCCGGTGGCGCAGCAGGTAAGTTCACATGCTCTGCTTCTCTGCAGCCCGGGGTTTGCCAGTTCGGATCCCAGGTGTGGACATGTCTCTGCTTGGCACACCATGCTGTGGTAGGCGTCCCACGTATAAAGTAGAGGAAGATGGGCATGGATGTTAGCTCAGGGCCAGGTTTCCTCAGCAAAAAGAGGAGGACTGGCAGTAGTTACCTCAGGGCTAATCTTCCTCAAAACAACAAAACAAAACAAGTTCCTGCAAATCAGCAAAATTAAGATTTTTTTTCAAAAAATGTATACAGGCCGAAAAAGATTGATAGCCAACTCATAAAATATAAAATGCAAATGTCCAGTAAAACTATAAAAAGAAATCTGAATTTAATAGGGATGCAAATTAGAACGAGACTCCATTTTACAAAATTATTAGACATATACTGAGGGGTTGAGAAGAAGGTACTCTTTTGGTGAGGAGCAAATTCTTGCACTGCTGGTGAGAGTATAAACATTCTTTTTTTTTTTTAAAGATTGGCACCTGAGCTAACAACTCTTGCCAACCTTCTTTTTTTCCCTTATTTTTCTTCTCCCCAAAGCCCCGCAGTACATAGTTGTATATTCTATTTATAGGTCCTTCTGGTTGTGCTATATGGAATGCTACCTCAGCACAGCCTGATGAGTGGTGTCACGTCTGCACCTGGGATCCAAACCAGTGAAACCATGGGCAGCCAAAGCAGAGCACACAAACTAACCACTCGGCCACAGGGCCGGCCCCTAAACATTTCTGAGATACTTTTCCTTAAGATATAAGCAAATAAATGACAAAGATATATAAGAATAATCAGCTCAGTGTTTGTTTGTTTTTTAATAAAAAATGGATACAAGATACTACTTAACAATAAAGAATTAGAGAACATACACATGTGCACAAGAACACACAGAAGAAGATGACATGAATGTCAATATGTGTGCATAATGTACATCCATAGATGTATTTCTTGGCTAATTAGTTTATCCTCAGAAATCAGAATTTATATACATTTGGTTTAGATATTAATGAAGCATCAAAGTCGAACTATTGTGCATTAATTTGATATAAAATCTAACCTCATTTGTGGAATTTAATAAAAGAAGCTACAACTAAATTGGAGTCAGGAAGGCCTGTATGGGGAGCTCTCATACCCTGTCACACATGTCAATTACACCAAACCAGAAGAGACAGAGGCTCGCATCTAGGACAAGAGGAACTACTTTACTACTCAACGAAGATTTCTCTTACCACCAGGCAACAGCCCAGCCGATGAGAAACACCACAGCTCAGCCATAAGGCATTGCGACATGAACTGTTACTTTCCCCCAATGGATTTTGGTTTAGAACAGCCCCTCCCTATTCCTCCTTTTTCTCTGTAAAAGCAGCTCCCCTTGTTTGCTGGATTTGCCTATGGTTTGCCATAGCATGGACATCCCAAATTGCAATTCTTTTGGCTATTCCCAAATAAACTCATTTTGAGATAAAATAGGCAGATTTGCTTTTTAAGTTGACAAGGTTTACCTATGATCACCATAAACTCTAGCTAAGTCCATAACGGCATTTGCCTTATGACACATTACAAGATAAATTCTACGGTAGCCATTCTGTGTTACTGTACTTTGATGTTACAAGTGTGAAAGTTCTTTGTTTTGCCGAAAAACTTCCATATAAAGTAAGAGGAAATTAAATTGTTGCCATTCTAAAAACAGCCGATATGTTAGTTGGAATAATGCTACCTCTAAAACCAAAGAACTAAAGTTCATTCTTAGTTTAATATTTATGGTTTTATCAAAGAACAAAAAACTCCATTTCCTCACCCATCATATCTGTTATTACCCTGTCTGTAGGCAAAAGCATTTTCTGAATAAACTTTAAAGCCAAAAAGTAAAATGGATAGCATAACAATGTTACGATATAGGTTAGCAGATATGATCAGCATACCATACCTTTTCATTCTACTGTATAACGTTTACAGAGCCTAGGATTTTTCCTGAACTCCTTAAAAAGTAAAAAGATTTATTCCAGAGGAAAAAGTCCAGAGACCAGTAAATAATTTTTTGTTGTTGCCAAAGGAGAAAGAAATTGAAATTCAAATGTTATTTTCTCCAAACTACATAATTCAAATGAAACTGGCTAAAAGAACTCAGGAGTAGATGATGAAATTTGTTTGTTTCAGTACCTGAATTTTTAATTGTTATTAATTTGCAATACGCAGGGACTCTGCCTATCTGAATAAGAAGGACCCAACTATGCCCCTTACATTTCTTTAGATTCTTGCCCTGAAAGTTTTCTTTACATGTTTTTGATTTTGATGGTTCACTTTCAACATAACATCTATAGCGTTTCCATATTAACAAAACAATCTTATCAACACATCTGAATTTAATGTCAGAGACCCTGTCATCTCAAATGACGTCTGAGTTTTCCACTCAAGTGCATATTTTTTACACCATTTTTCTCATTCATTTCTTCATTTATTTTCCCTGGATATTTTGGAACCTCTCATTTGTTAACACATTTCTTAAGTAATAATTTTTGATAGGTTTTGTTGTATCAGTGGAATAATTAAAAAGTGATGTATTTAGATTGTAATCAGCAAGCAAGTACTCAAACACTGCATTTAACCTCTATGCAATTAATCAAAGTAGAGCAAGGATATGTGTGGAGTATTGGGACTTCACAATTTCACACTAATAAACATAGGAAGCAATTCAGTGATAAGAATTTAAAAGTGTGACAGTAATATATTTTGAAGGGTACAGAGTAAACTCATCTTGAGCCATTAACTTACCCAAGACTGTGAGCTCTGCGGAGGCACTAATATTCTCATTTTTGTATGTGACCACACAGGTGTAAGTTCCACTGTCATCATCTGTCACATTGGAGATAAGCAAGTTGCTTCCACCCAATAAAGAATACTTTTTGGACCTGTAAGACATAAAGCATATGAAATTAGAGAATAGATTAAATATACGTATATCAGAAAAGGTACTCAGAGGTTTAAATGAACTCCAGAAAAGCTCTATTTATAAAATTGGAAAGAAACTCTATTTCATAGGGGCTTGATAACGTCACATTTATTGATCAAAAAATTCATTCACAGTAAACCACTCCCATTGGAAGGTTGTGTGCAGTGATAAAAGAAATGAAGTAGATTAAATTTGGAACTAACATTACTACTGAAAAGAAACTTTGAGATAATCTGGTCCAATTCTCTCATTTTGGATTTGAGGACTGCAAGGTCCAGAGAAATGATTCCCCACAGTGGACATCGATGTCCTCTATCCTGACGCATAATTTAGTAATCTTTGGACAAAGCTACATTTTATACTGGACCAAGAATGCCTGGCTATATTCAGAGAACACATCTTGACATGGTGAAGCTGCAACCAGATTTCTGGCATGCTTTAATATTCTCAGAAGTATTGTAGTATCATAGCATGTATTGTTGTTATATAAATAAATATTTAAGGTAGACAAAATTTAGAGATTTATTTATTGTCTATGAACCTATCTCATCATAGAAAATAAATGTTAAAAAGCACAGCAGACCTCAAAATCGATGAAATTAATTTCTTAAGTGAAATCCATTTAATCAAAAAGACTAAGCGTTTCATTCTATTAAGAGTTTACCTTCTGATCTGTACGCTGAAAACTATAAAACATTGTTGAAAGAAATTGAAGAAGACACAAAGAAATGGAAAGATATTCTGTGTTCTTGCATCAGAAGAATTAACATAGCTAAAATGTCCACACTTCCTAAAGCAATCTGCAGACTGAATGCAATCTCTATTAAAGTTCCAATGACATTTTTCACAGAAATAGAACAAAGAATTCTAAAATTTATATGGGACACCAAAAGACCCCAAATAGCCAAAGGAATCCTGAGAAAAAAGAAGAAAGCTGGAGGTACCACACTCCCTGATTTCAAAATATACTGCAAAGCTATAGTAACCAAAATAGTATGGTACTGGCACAAAAACAGACACACTGATCAATAGAACAGAACTGAGAGCCCAGAAATAAACCCACACATCTATGGACAGCTGATTTTCAACAAAGGAGCCAAGAACATACAATGGAGAAAGGAAAATCTCTTCAATCGATGGTGTTGGGGGACCCGGCCCCATGGCCAAGTGGTTAAGCTTGCACGCTCCTCTGCGGCAGCCCAGGGTTTCGCTGGTTCAGATCCTGGGCGCAGACATGGCACCGCTCATCAGGCCACACTGAGGCAACATCCCACATGCCACAACTAGAAGGACCCACAACTAAAAAAATATATACAACTATGTACCAGGGGACTTTGGGGAGAAAAAGGAAAAATAAAATCTTTAAAAAATAAATAAATAAAAATTAAAAAAAAATAGTGTTGGGAAAACTGGACAGCCACATGCAAAAGAATGAAAGTAGACCATTACCTTACACCATACACAAAAATCAACTCAAAAGGGATTTAATACATGAATATAAGACCTAAAACCATGAAACTTCTAGAAGAAAACAGGCAGTATGCTCTTTGACATTGGTCTTAGCAGCATGTTTCCAAGTACCATGTCTGACTGGGCAAAAGAAACAATAGAAAAATAAACAAATGGGACTACATCAAACTAAAAAGCTTCTGCACAGCAAAGGAAACCATCAACAAAACGAAAATACAGTCTAATAACTGAGAGAAGATATTTGCAAACCATATATCTGATGAGGAGTTAATATCCAAAATACATAAGGAACTCATACATCTCAACAACAACAAAGATTAACAACCCAATTAAAAAATGGGAAAAACATCTGAACAGACATTTTTCCAAAGAAGATATACAGATGGCCAACAGGCACATGAAAGAATGTTCAACATCATTAACTATCAGGGAAATGCAAATCAAAACTGCAATGAGATATCACCTCACTCCCATCAGAATGGCTATAATTAGCAAGACAGGGAACAATAAGTGTTGGAGAGGGTGTGGAGAGAAGGGAACTCTCATACACTGATGGCAGGAGTGCAAACTGGTGCAGCCACTATGGAAAACAGTATGGAGTTTCCTCAAAAAATTAATAGAATTACCATATGATCCATCTATTCCAATGCTGAGTATTTATCCAAAGAACATGAAAACACAAATGCATAAAGGTATATGCACCTCTATGTTCACTGCAGCATTATTCACAATAGCCAAGACTTGGAAGAAACCTAGGTGCCCATCAAGGGATGAATGGATAAAGAAGGTGTGGTATATATACACAATGGAATACTACTAAGCCATAAGAAAAGATGAAATCTGGCCTCTTATGACAACATGGATGGACCTTGAGGGTATTATGCTAAGTGAAATAAGTCAGAGGGAGAATGTCAAATACTGTATGATCTCATTCATAAGTAGAAGATAAAACAACAAAAAACAATCACATAGAGACAGATTGGACTGGTGGTTACCAGAGGGGAAGGGGGGAGGGAGGAGGGTGAAAGGGGTGATTAAGCACATGTGTGTGCTGACGGATTGTAATTTGTCTTTGGTTGATGAACGTGATGTAACCTACACAGGAATTGAAATATAATGATGTACACCTGAAACTTATACAGTGCTTTAAACCAATGTTACTGCTATAAAATAAATAAATAGATCAATCAATCAATAAATAAGGGTTTACTTTCTAACTATATCTTAATATTAATCTTCAGTAATTCAGAGCCAGTCAAGCTCTCCTCCTGTCTTATCTTAAATATTTTATTGCTGGGACAATGAGAGATATAATTGGCGTTAAAAAAAAATTGCACAGACCCTATAATGGCGTGCTATATCTTTGAAATCAGGAAATTTTAGTTTCTTAAGAAATATTCCACTCTCTATACTACTTCCATAGAATGAGATCCTCCAAAGTATCTTTGCTGAAGACTCTTTGGGCAGAGCCATCTCAGCGGCAACCCCGGCCTTCTAACTTTCCTTTCAGAGCTGATCTCACAGATTTTCACTCTGTTCCTCACCCCTTTATCCCAGTGGGTAATTGTCTTTCATATACTGTATAATGCCAAGGAATGTGGAAAAACATTCAATTATTATCAAAAACTCTGGTATTTTTAGATGTGAATATCAAATTAGAGAATAATAAAGAGTGTATACTTCACAAACGTCCTAAATTTATATTACCTGAGTTGGATGACTTCCTCTCCTCGTAACCAGGTAAAACTTGGGGGAGGATAGCCAGAAACACAGCACTCCAGGACAGCATCTTTCCCTTCAATGGCTATTACGTTGGATGGTCTTTGCAGAAAATACAGCTGCCTGTGCAGTCCTGGATCTGTAGAAAGAAAACATAAGATCACATTTTTTTATGAAAAACATTGCAAAAATAAATGATGCAGCTTGAATTGTGTATTTTTTTTCTAATAAGACACTATGGATAAAAAGAAAACAAAAATGGAAAGACGCCGATTAAACTTAGGAAATAAACTCCTAAAAATATTTTTCCATCTCTAGATTCTAGGATTATGATACTAAAATATTCTTAGCTGTTGATGACATCACAGTATAAAGCAAAGGAAAAAAGTTGGAGGCTACAAGTCACCCATGTGGGCTATAGGCCTTGTAAACTTATCATTAGAGAATAAAACAATACTATCAGTAACTTTTCTAAATGTTATCACCTGAAACTTTTTGATATGTTCAGTTTGCCTGCCTCTAATATCTATTCCACTTCCTTCTGCTTTGTTTATTGCTTCTGTGGCTTGGGAAATAAGATAAGCATGTTAGAATTGTGTTAAAATAATACAAGTACTGAGAAGTAGACTATAGAAGGTACTGAGAAAATATCTGCCATCTTCAAAATGAAAGTTACACAAAGTTTTTTTATAGTAATAAGTTTGGCTGTTTCTAAGCCTTCCTTATATTTTCAATTTTTAAAATTTTCCAAAGAGTATGTTTGCCCCTAGAACTGAGACTCTGGGTAAATGAAGAGCTCTTTTATCCTTCTACTTCACCTAATGCATTTTCTAGTTCTAGATATATAAGATTATTCATTTTTACCAGCAAGTAACTGAAACAGTGTCTTTCAACCTACAGACTCATTCCATTAACCTTAGGACTAATTTGATCCAAAGTTGCTGAGATTATATCAGATGGAATAAGCAAAAAAAATCACAAAATCCTAAGCACGGTGTTCAACACTGTCAAGAGAAAGCTCTGTGAGTATTAAGAGATTCCCTTCCACCTACCATATAAATCCCACTCCTAAAGCCTGGGGCACACCAACAGCAGTTTTATGGCAGGTGGGCCTGGGAGAAATCCTCCCAGGCATGCTGATATCTCTGATCCAACCTGTTGAACAAATTTCTATCTCTCAAAGTTCTTTTATTTAAGATAAGATGCTGTATTTCCAGGTTCCCATTAAAGTCCACATCTCTCTATGAAGGTTTAATTTAGGTTATTTTCAACATAATGCATTAAATGGAAATAGCCTGTAATCTGTCATTTTGCAAACTCAAAGCAAATTCTTGAAGCAAAGAAAAGAGGCAATGAAATCTTAAAAACTAGGATTGGGGTGGATGGAGACTTATCAAGAGGTTACATCTAACTGGGTCATGGTGTAGCCATGGGTAATCAGAGAGGAAGTGAGGCGGGAGGAGATCTGGGACACATTTTAACACTGTTGTTAATCTTCCTTGGCCTGATCCAGCTCCACTCAGATTTATCACAGGCCAATAAAAGAACAGCAATTCTCTAGATAATATTTGGGATAGTAATTGTCATCTAAAGTACTCTGCGTGGAAGAAGAGAAATTCACACTTTTTTCTCATCTTCTCACATCTGTTTCTAGTGGTTACAGCAATAAAAATAAATACTCTTCACAATGAAAATATTGAAAGAATTTTCAAACCTGTTAATCCTTATTAAACCAATATTGCAGAAAAACTGTCTTAAAACTTTTAAAAATTACTTGAGGTGTGTTTAACTTTCCTTTCTTGAACGTGATTTTTTAAATCAAATGAAAATGGTTTGAAGGATGTTATTGCTTAAAAATAAATTCCCTGAAATGGAAAGGTTCCCAAAAATGTGCATTTATAAATAGCCTTCTTTTATAATGGAGGCCTATCCATCTGAATGCTTCATTTTCACCACCTGTTCCTCAGCAGAAATGTTTCCGCTACATACACTGTATAACACTATACTATTCTAGAAACTCTAGTATACTATACTATAATACTATCCATTGAAAACATCAAGTAAGATCTACATAATTTGATCTTCTAGCTGAAAGAAAATTTGCCTGGGACCTATATGCAATACTACTTTTTTATCCATGGAAGAGCCAACATTTTAACTCAAACTGTTATACTTCCGTTTATCAGAAAACAAAATCATTCAACAAAAAATTATTACTTTTAAAAATCTTTTAAATATTTTTATTTTAATTTACCAAAAACTTGAGCAAATAGTACAGAGAGTTCCCATATACTAGCTCCCCCATCCCCTGACATTCAGTTTCCCCTATTATTATCTTACATTAGTGTGATATATTTGTTACAATTAATGAACTGATATTGATACAGTTATTAACTAAAGTGCATAGTGCACATTAAGGTTCATTCTTTGCTTTGTACAGTTCTATTGGTTTGATAAATGCATAATGTCAAATATCCAACATTATAGTATCGTATAAAATAGTTTCACCACCCTAAAAATCCTCTGAGCTTCACTTTTCCATCTCTCCCCTCTACCCCTATCTCAAACTCCAGGCAATCATTGGTCTTTTTACTATTTCTATAGTTGTGCCTTTTCCAGAATATCATGTAGTTGAAATTATATAATATGTAGACTTTTCAGATTGATTTCTTTCTCTTAATTATATGCATTTAGGGTTCATCCACATCTTTTTATGGTTTGATAGCTCATTTATTTGTATTACTGGATATTATTCCACTGTATGGATGTACCACAATTTGTTTATCCAGCCACCTGTTGAAGGATAGGTGCTTGACTGATTGCTTCTAGTTTTTGGTGATTATAAACAAATCTGCTATAACCGTCCATGTGCAGATTTTTGTCTGGACATAACTTTTCAACTCAATTGGGTAAATACGGATCACGATTCTAGGGTCACGATTCTTGGATCACGATTGCTAGATTGTATGATAATACTATGTTTATTTTTGTAAGAAACTCCTAAACTGTCTTCTAAAGTGGCTCTGCAATTTTTTACTCCCACCAGCAATGATGGAGAGTTCCTGTTGTTTCTCATCTTTGTAAGCATTTTGTATGATCATTTTTGGATTTTAGCCATTTTAATAGATGTCTAGTGGTATCTTACAATTGTCTTAACTTGCAGTTCCCAAATGACATATGATGTTGAGCACATTTCATATACTTAGTTTCTATTTGTATATTTTCTTCAGTGAGGTATCTCTTCAGAACTTTTGCCTATTTTTAATTTTGTTTGTTTATTGTTGAGCTTCACGTATTCATTTTATGTTTTTCATACAAGTCCTTTATCAGATGGGTATTTTGCAAATATTTTCTCAATCTGTGGCTTATTTTATCATTTTCTTAACATTGTCTTTTGCAGAGAACAAGTTATTAATTCCACAAAGTCCAATTTATCAATTTTTCCTATCATGGATTTTTTTATAAGTGTGGTATCTAAAAATTCATTGTCAAATCTAAAATCACCTAGATTTTCTCCCATCTTATCTTCTAGAAGTTTCTATAGTTCTTTATTTTATATTTAGGTCAATGCTCCATTTTGAGTGAATTTTTGTGAAAGCTGTAAGGTCTGTGTCTAGTTTTGTTTTTATTCTTTTTTACATATGAATGTCCTGTTGTTTCAGCACCATGTGTTGAAAAGACTATCCTTTGTCCATCGACTTGGTTTTGCTCCTTTGTCAAAGATTGGTTGACTGTATTTTTGTGGGTCTATTTCTGAGAGCTCTACTTTGTTCCATTGTTCTATTCCCCATTATTTTGCCAATATAACAATATCTTGACTACTTTAACTTTATAGCGAGTCTTGATGTCAGGGAGTGTTCATCCTCTGATGCTCTTCTTCGGTATTGTGCTCACTATTCTGGTTCTCTTGTCTTTCCATATAAACTTTAGAATCGGTTTATTGAGATACACAAAATAACTTGCTGTGATTTGTCTTCATCTTAAAATAACAGTAGTGCAGGCATCATTGGGCTCATATTGCCACAAGAACACCATTTCCTATTGCTTCTTTAGACAGGGCATATGTATTCCAGATTACTTCAATCTCAATCTGGCCTATTTCAGTTATGTTTATTATCTTTGTGGCTTCATAGGCATTGGACTTTGTGACTCTGATCACATGTATGAAAATATCAGCTTTTGGCAGAGAAATTTGATTTCACTTCTCCCAAGATATCTCTCTGTAATTATCTAATCTAATAAATTCTATTATTATGGAAGTTCCCCAAAAAGCTAATAGAAATTTTCTTTAATAGTAAATAGTTCTTATGCTATACAACTTTGTAATAGATTAAATATGATCACAAATTGATTGAACTCTTCCAATGCAGAATTGAAGGTCTAGTCCCTATGATTTGAATCTGGCCTGGCCTTGTACCTGCCTTTGACCAATAGACTGTGGTGGAAGTTATGCCGTATGAGTATACTATATGAGCCAAGGCCTTCAGAGGCCTTACAGTTTCTGCCATGGCTCTTTCTGAGACTATGCTGTTCATTTCGTCCACTGGAAGTTGAGAAGACACAGGAAGATAACTGAGTCCCCCAGCCAAAAACCAGCAACAACAAACAGATAGGTGAGTGAGGCCATCTTGAACCTCCCACTTCGGGCATATGCGCATGAGTGAGTCAAAATGAAATCAAGAGAGGAAATGCTGAGCTAAACCACAGAATTACAATAGAGGATAAATTTGTCCTTTAAGTCATAAATTTTGGAGTGATTTGTTATGTAGCGATAGATCATTGAAACATACAGTTGAAAATGAAAACAAAACAAGCCCACTCCAGCAATTTAAAATACCAAGTAAACTTTTTTTTTCCAGTTTGACTTTTGCTTTTGTTTTTGTACTGTTTGGGTGATTTTGGCTGTTTACAGAAATATTATTTAATTGATATCTGCCTTATTTTTCTCTTTTAAAATCTGAATTTGGGTGAGCCAACCCCAGTTGCCTAGTGGTTAAGTTTGGCGTGTTCCACTTCAGTGGTCCAGGTTTGGCCCCTGGGCACTGACCTAAACCACTCATCTGTCAGTGGACACTCTGTGGCGACGGCTCACACAGAAGAAGAGGAAGACTGGCAACAGATGTTAGCCCAGGGTGAATC